ATTGTGGACACATTGTGGACACATTGTGGGCACATTGTGGACGGAGGAATATGTAGATGCGGGCGCCATGTAATCGCAGTGACTACCAAAACATACAATTTTTATGTTAAAAGCGCGCAGTATAATGGGGGCAAGATAATGTTATTCCGTAGCATTTCTTCTTAATCGTGTTGTGCATGTTGTTTATTTTATGTTTGCCGTGGATATTTTTTTCCCGCGTTGTTTTATTGACACTATTTTCTGTTTTTATTTTAGTTCATGACAGAGAGGAAGTGTTTAGTTTATTAATCACAATGCTCCACAACAGCGCATACTGATTAGATTTGAGTTGTTTTACTTCAAACCATGGTCTTCCTTGAGAATAGACACTGCAGTGTAGTGTTCAGGACACTGGACTCGCAATCCAGAGGTCATCTGGCCACGGTGGCGAGATGTTAACTATCTCGCCTGGTATAGAGGAAATCGTGAGCTCGATACGGACCCTGACGATGCCTGTACATTCGGAGTTTGCGTGTTCAGTCTCCCCGTGGTCGCATGGATTATTCTATGGGTCCTCCGGGTTTTCCCTCCACATTTAGAGTCAATGTGCGCTCAGAGAATTTGGCTGCTATACATTTCCACGTGACAAGCCACTTTGCTGAGCTGTCGTTTGTGGCCAGGTCGCTTCTGACAAAGAGCTATGTAGCTCAGTGGGCCAATACCTGATAAAATGAAAAAAAATATATAGTTCGATCCCATCTCCCGACGATGCAAATGAAAGCATGGCGCAAGTTTCTTAAATCCCCCCCTCTCCAGCCCCACTGTCTCTGTCCACCCAGCAGTATAAAAGGGCAACGCCGATCCGCAAGTTGCGTGTGGTGGGGTAAAGTTCGGGTAACTTCCACCTCGTCCAAGACGTCTGGCCAGCGTGCAGGACTTAGGCCTAATAGTTCAGTGGAATTTGAGCTTCGTCGAGTGCGACTCTTCTGCCAGCGGTGGTGTCAGCAGGCGCTTGCAGGGATGCCCATTTGCCTTGCTTGGAAAAGAGACCTCGTGTCTTAATAGGGATATTGCTTGGTCATAACAGCCGTCTATTTAGCCGCGTACCATCCACGTCAAAAGCCAATGTGTTTATTTGTATTAGACAATGCATTGTTACGCGCTTGTTATGTTTGTTCCTGAATACATTAATTGGTTGTTGCTCGACTGCAGTAACCCAGCTCAGAACACCGTCTTCAGAAGTGCACAGTAGCAGGTAATTCGCGACGACTGCTGTGAGAAGCGACATCACCGGCAGCGCGATATCACAAACTTGCGTTCGCGCGCACAAACGCGCACGCACACACACGCATACACACAAACACGCATGCACACACACGCGTACACGCACACGCGCACACACGCGCGCACACGCGCACGCGCACACACGCGCGCACACACGCACACGCACGCACGCATACACGCACACACACACTCATGCACACACACGCACACACACACGCACACACACGCACGCACAAACACACACGCTCACACACTCATGCACACACACGCACGCACACACACACGCACACACACACACGCACACACGCGCGCGCCGCTGACAAAGAAGACGAATCTCATTTACCCATGCGCCACGTACTATGATACCGTGTTCAGAGTATTTTGCTTAAACCAGGTGTCAGCACTCAAGAGACCAAGATGGGGTCTCGTTGTCAAGAGTGAGCTGGACTCAACAAAATGATGAAAACAAATCTAAAATAAACAACCAAAAAGTACAGAAAAGAGGTAAAGCAATCGACGCTGCGTCCTCTACTGTTGTGTACTCTGGTGGCAGCTGTGTACTCAGCTGGTGTGTACTCTGGTGGCAGCTGTGTACTCAGCTGTTGTGTACTCTGGTGGTCGCTGTGTACTCAGCTGTTGTGTACTCTGGTGGCAGCTGTGTACTCAGCTGTTGTGTACTCTGGTGGCAGCTGTGTACTCAGCTGTTGTGTAATCTAGTGGTCGCTGTGTACTCAGCTGTTGTGTACTCTGGTGGCAGCTGTGTACTCAGCTGTTGTGTAATCTAGTGGTCGCTGTGTACTCAGCTGTTGTGTACTCTGGTGGCAGCTGTGTACTCAGCTGTTGTGTACTCTGGTGGTCGCTGTGTACTCAGCTGTTGTGTACTCTGGTGGTCGCTGTATACTCAGCTGTTGTGTACTCTGGTGGCAGCTGTATACTCAGCTGTTGTGTACTCTGGTGGCAGCTGTGTACTCAGCTGTTGTGTACTCTGGTGGCAGCTGTGTACTCAGCTGTTGTGTAATCTAGTGGTCGCTGTGTACTCAGCTGTTGTGTACTCTGGTGGCAGCTGTGTACTCAGCTGTTGTGTACTCTGGTGGTCGCTGTGTACTCAGCTGTTGTGTACTCTGGTGGTCGCTGTATACTCAGCTGTTGTGTACTCTGGTGGCAGCTGTATACTCAGCTGTTGTGTACTCTGGTGGCAGCTGTGTACTCAGCTGTTGTGTACTCTGGTGGCAGCTGTGTACTCAGCTGTTGTGTAATCTAGTGGTCGCTGTGTACTCAGCTGTTGTGTACTCTGGTGGCAGCTGTGTACTCAGCTGTTGTGTACTCTGGTGGTCGCTGTGTACTCAGCTGTTGTGTACTCTGGTGGTCGCTGTATACTCAGCTGTTGTGTACTCTGGTGGCAGCTGTATACTCAGCTGTTGTGTACTCTGGTGGCAGCTGTGTACTCAGCTGTTGTGTAATCTAGTGGTCGCTGTGTACTCAGCTGTTGTGTACTCTGGTGGCAGCTGTATACTCAACTGTTGTGTACTCTGGTGGTCGCTGTGTACTCAGCTGTTGTGTACTCTGGTGGCAGCTGTGTACTCAACTGTTGTGTACTCTGGTGGCAGCTGTGTACTCAGCTGTTGTGTACTCTGGTGGTCGCTGTGTACTCAGCTGGTGTGTACTCTGGTGGTCGCTGTGTACTCAACTGTTGTGTACTCTGGTGGCAGCTGTGTACTCAACTGTTGTGTACTCTGGTGGCAGCTGTGTACTCAGCTGTTGTGTACTCTGGTGGTCGCTGTGTACTCTACTGTTGTGTACTCTGGTGGCAGCTGTATACTCAGCTGTTGTGTACTCTGGTGGTCGCTGTGTACTCAGCTGTTGTGTACTCTGGTGGTCGCTGTGTACTCAGCTGTTGTGTACTCTGGTGGCAGCTGTGTACTCAGCTGTTGTGTACTCTGGTAGCAGCTGTGTACTCAGCTGTTGTGTACTCTGGTGGTCGCTGTGTACTCAACTGCTGTGTATTCGGGGTACGATTCACCACTTGCGTTTTCAGATAACTCAATTATTTTCCATGTCAGAAATGAGGCAAAATTAGGCCAGATTCAACCAAACTAAGGACTACCGAGAACAATCCGAATCATCGACTTGCGTTGAACCATGCCATGGAAACGTTTTGTTTAAATTTACCTACGATACCAAGTGGGTGGTGGGCGTGCGTCCAATGAGATGGAAGTAGGGAGTTGGTGGGGTGGTGTTGGTGAGGTCGGTGGAGTCGGTGGGGTTGGTGGGATTGGTGGGATCAGTGGGGTCAGTGGGGTTGGTGGGATCGGTGGGGTCGGTGGGGTTGGTGGGATCGGTGGGGTCGGTGGGGTTGGTGGGATCGGTGGGGTCGGTTGGGCTGGTGGGATCGGTGGGGATGGTGGGGTTGGTGGGATTGGTGGGGATGGTGGGATCGGTGGGGTCGGTGGGGTTGGTGGGATCAGTGGGGTCAGTGGGGTTGGTGGGATCGGTGGGGTCGGTGGGGTCGGTGGGGTTGGTGGGATCAGTGGGGTCAGTGGGGTTGGTGGGATCGGTGGGGTCGGTGGGGTTGGTGGGATCGGTGGGGTCGGTGGGGATGGTGGGATCAGTGGGGTCAGTGGGGTTGGTGGGATCGGTGGGGATGGTGGGATTGGTGGGATTGGTGGGGATGGTGGGATCGGTGGGGTCGGTGGGGTTGGTGGGATCGGTGGGGTCGGTGGGGTTGGTGGGATCGGTGGGGTCGGTTGGGCTGGTGGGATCGGTGGGGATGGTCGGGTTGGTGGGATTGGTGGGGATGGTGGGATCGGTGGGGTCGGTGGGGTTGGTGGGATCAGTGGGGTCAGTGGGGTTGGTGGGATCGGTGGGGTCGGTGGGGTCGGTGGGGTTGGTGGGATCAGTGGGGTCAGTGGGGTTGGTGGGATCGGTGGGGTCGGTGGGGTTGGTGGGATCGGTGGGGTCGGTGGGGTTGGTGGGATCGGTGGGGATGGTGGGGTTGGTGGGATTGGTGGGGATGGTGGGATCGGTGGGGTCGGTGGGGATGGTGGGATCAGTGGGGTCAGTGGGGTTGGTGGGATCGGTGGGGATGGTGGGATTGGTGGGATTGGTGGGGATGGTGGGATCGGTGGGGTCGGTGGGGTTGGTGGGATCGGTGGGGATGGTGGGGTTGGTGGGATTGGTGGGGATGGTGGGATCGGTGGGGTCGGTGGGGATGGTGGGATCAGTGGGGTCAGTGGGGTTGGTGGGATCGGTGGGGATGGTGGGATTGGTGGGATTGGTGGGGATGGTGGGATCGGTGGGGTCGGTGGGGTTGGTGGGATCGGTGGGGATGGTGGGGTTGGTGGGATTGGTGGGGATGGTGGGATCAGTGGGGTCGGTGGGGATGGTGGGATCAGTGGGGTCAGTGGGGTTGGTGGGATCGGTGGGGATGGTGGGATTGGTGGGGATGGTGGGATCGGTGGGGTCGGTTGGGCTGGTGGGATCGGTGGGGTCAGTGGGGTCGGTTGGGCTGGTGGGATCGGTGGGATCGGTGGGGTCGGTGGGGTTGGTGGGGTTGGTGGGATCGGTGGGGCTGATGGAGTTGGTGGGATCGGTGGGGGTCGGTGGGATTGGTGGGATCAATGGCAGTTGGTGGGGTGCGGTGGGATGCGATGGGGTTGGTGGGATGCGGTGGGATCGGTGAGGTGCGGTGGGATCGGTGAGGTTTGGGGGGGGTGCGTGGTGTGCCGGCGGTCGCTCACCCGCTTGCGGAGATTGTAGGTGAGGATGAGGTTGCGCGAGAAGGAGTTGGCGAAGCCGGTGTAGAAGTCGAGCACCTTGAGCAGCGCCTCGCGCTTGATCACGTGCAGGTCGCAGTAGGTGAGCGCACGCACGTTGGCGCACGACTGCGCCAGCGTGCTCTCCTTCCAGAAGACGTCCCCGAACACGTCGCCCTTGCCTGCGAGCCATCGCCGTCATCGCCCACTGTGATCATTGTCGTCATCATCGTCGTCATGGTCACTACGAACGTCATTGTCACCACCGTCTCCATCGTTATCATCATAATCACCACTGTTACTTTGGTCGTCGTCATCATCATCGTCACCACTATCTCTATCACCACCACTTTCTACATCATCTTATTAATTATTACGTTCGTCATCTTCGTCGTGTTTAGTGTGATCAACGTCATTGTAATTGCCATCATTGTCATCATCAAAATCAATGTCATCGTCATGATTATTATCAGCATTATTATCATTATCGTCATCACCTTTGTCATCATCATCATCATCAACATCGACATGATCAACATGGTCATCATAAAGTCATTACCATCACCAGGCATGATATATCCACTGTTAGACGAAGGCCTTCCAAAGCCAACAGCCCTGTGATGCGACAATCCGTCTGGCTCAAGGCAATAACTCCAAGATTTGTAACGCGCGGCCGCGTCCAGCAACAAAAAACCCGAGATGGCAACGCGGATGGCACAGAGAGAAATGGCTCCAAACTGAACAGAAGAGTCAAGAAATGTTTCTCGTCCGATCACAAAAGCGCCGATTTGTCCCGACTGAGCGGACTTATATCGGCAGAGACCGTTCCAGACCAGTGGGGGCTGCAGATGAACAGCTCCCTTCTGCTGGCCCAAGCCGTGTGGATCGTAGCAGCAGATCCATAGCAGATGAGCGTTGGTTTTTGTGATGGTGCAGATGGGTGGATGGCATAGCCCAGGTGGCTTCGCACTTGATTGGCTCACGGGTGACGACATCACGTTTGCCCTCTCTATTTAAGGAGCGAAACAGGAGGAGCGTTTCTCCACAACTCTGGCCGTCGCCTGATGATGCTGGTTGTAATTGCTGGCGAAACGTCTAACTCGAATTGTAAATGTTGTGGCCGTGTGCCGTACTTGTAACGAATTGTCCTGTTTTGGTTACGTGACAAACCTGACTAATTGGCTGTGTCGGGTGGTGCCGAGTTTATATGCACGCGATCTAACCCAAGCTAACCTCTATTGCACAAGTATCACTCGATCTCACTCACTTTGCCTGCCACTCGATCGTTAAGCGTCGACCAACCGGTCATCATCCTTTCTAGCGACATGATCTGCCCATCATCATAATCATCATAATGAGAATCGCCGTCATCATCACCCATCAAAATCAGGATCATTGCCACATGGATTATCTGGGGGGCCCGGTGGCTGTGATTGATGGAGAGCTTAGGGACTGGGACCATTGTCTGCACCAGTTACGGGGAGAAAGAAGTTCAACATACATACATACATACAAGCTGATAATCCCATGTCACAGATAAACTACCTATTTTACTAGGTAATGGCCCACTGAGCTATATAGATTGTTTTTTTTTTCATAAGCAACCTGGCCACAAATGATAGCTCAACAAGTGGCCTATCATCATGTGGAAATTCATAGCAGCCAAATACTTTCAACGCACGATGTTGATTCGAAATGCGGAGGAAAAGATATGGAGGGCTTGGAGAAAAAATCCACATTGACCATGGGGAGAACGTGCAAACTCGAAATATACAGCAGCAGGCGTCAAGGCTGGGATCGAAACCACGACCTCCCGCATACCGGGCGAGGGAGTTAACATCTCCTAGCCACAGCGGCGCCCGACTCTGCCACATCGCCTCTGCCAGACGCTTGTAAATGAGCGGGTTTGTGAGCACGAAACCAAATGGGACCCTCGTACAATTCTAACAACAAATCTCAGCCACGACTACAAACGAATAACGAATATCACTTGCAAGACTGCATCTATACACCAGTGTCGCTGTACGGTGAAGTCAACGGTGGGCCGTTTTATGGATATACCGAACCCCATGTAACAATGGGTTTTACCCTCTCTGGCAATAAAAACAGGTGTTAAGATGTCAAAACACCATGGGATCCTGTCTGCATTGACCACACGTACTTGTGGTGAACATGCAAACAAAAACACATGCTCTGATAACGTATGGCATTGTCTTTGAAACTGATTGGTCCACACCAGAGGCAGCTTTCTTTAGAGCCTCGTCATAAAAGTGTTAGACCAGAGGACGCCAAAAGGCGAACAGCACAAACCCCGTCAAAGTAATGTGGAATTTCAACCACTGACTGTAGTTGACCACCGCCGCTCTGGCATATATCTGCGAGCATTAATCCACTGCCGCTATAATTTAGATCTCGCGATGATTTCCTTAATCGGATTTGAAATCTGCTTTAGCGGTTTTTACTGCCGCAGCTGCTGTTGATAATATTGTTATCACTTTTATCAAGGTAACGTGGGGCCCTCATCAGCATGCGATGCGACGGGAATACATCTGAGCCGGCTCCCGCATGTAAATGTAAATGTCCCTCATTAAGCTCTGTTATGGATTGACATTGTTTGCACTCATTCAATCAGAGGTATTCAGCAAAGAGCATAAGGAGATTCTTGATCTTCAGCCAGGTGCTGTGTCTCAGCCACAGGGGGCTACGTGAACATTTCAAAGGCAGTGGAGCTAAATATATCCGTGCTGCACGCAATTCCCTGCGTGCTTGCTCGTGTATGCACGCCGCCTGCGCGTGTGCGCGTGTGAATGTGTATGCACGTTGTGTGTGTGCATGCACGTGTATGCACGCTGTGTGTGCATGTGCGCGTGCGAATGTGTATGCACGTTGTGTGTGTGTGCATGTGTGCATGCATGTGTATGCACGCTGTGTGTGCATGTGCGTGTGTGAATGTGCATGCACGCTGTGTGTGTGTGCATGTGTACATGCACGTGTATGCACAGTACGTGCATGTGCGTGTATGCACGCCGTGTGCGCATATGCGTGTGTGAATGTGTATGCACGTTGTGTGTGTGCACGTGTGCATGCACGCGTATGCGCGCCGTGTGTGCATGTGCGTGTGTGAATGTGCATGCACGCTGTGTGTGTGTGCATGTGTGCATGCACGTGTATGCACAGTGCGTGCATGTGCGTGTGTGGGAAAATGTATGCATGCTGTGTATGTGTGCATGCATGTATGTGCACGGTGTGTGTGTGAGTTTCTGCACGTGTATGTGTATATGCACGCTGTGTCTGTGCATCCGCATTTATGTGCACGCTGTGTGTATGCGTGCTGTGTATGCGTGTGCGTACGTGTGTATGTGCGTTGTGTGTGAACGCATGTATTTCTATGGACGCAGTGCATGCATATACATGCTGTGTGAGTTAATCCACGCTGTGTGCATGTGTGCGCGTATTCATTTATGTGCTTGTGTGTGTGTGCGTATGTGTGCATTCTGTGTGAGTGTGCATGTGTGTGCGTGTGAAATAACTGGAGCTGACCAAAATTTCACATTTTGAGTCTGAATCAATTCTGGATCAATGCCAATCAATTTAAACTATTTCTAATTAAATCCAAGAGAGTCAGGTCAGGCTCGGTTGTAATAAAGATTGCATATATTTTTGTTGGTTTGCATACGATTGATATAGAGGCCAAGGCACAGGTTGGATAATGTTTGTTCTTGTTGAGCTCAGGGTCAAGAGAATCCCTCTCGCGACATCGTCGCTGACCCAATGAGGTGACCCCACCACGTCAACACCCGGTGATTAATTTCAGTGACATTTCATGTTTAATTTAACTGCACTCTGAGCGATAGAGGAACGTGTGGATCGGAGGAGAGCCTTCGCTGGCGCTGACGTCGTTCAAACTGTTTAGAAAAGTAAATGGGGTTGGGCAGGACGCACTGCGCGTCAGTATTGTCTGTCTGTCTGTTGTTGTAACTTGCTCGTCCGCCCGAAGTTGACGTCTGTGGTCGGTAGATTAAAAAAAGCGCTTCATAGCTCATCGGATTTTTCCAGGATAAATAAAATATATCTATGAAGAAAGATTCATCAAGAACCGTGGCGGAGCGGCAGCGGAGGAGGAGCGGAATGCGTCCGATGGAGGTGAAGGAGGTCCACCGGGAAGATGAAGCTTTGCAATCCGCTCGTGTGCTCATGTTGGGTGGATTATTACATCCGCAGGCCTTCAACCGTGGCTGATGATGATAAGGATAATGCATAAGAACTCAATTTGAAACGTAAATACATTGACAGTACATTGGCACGATGTTCTTTGTTATTTGTTATTTTATTTTCACCTACGTGACTTTACCCAATAGAACCAAAAAGTATGGATCCTAGCAGTCACGAAAGCTTTAAATCTAGAAACGATGTTCTTTTTTTGGTTCACCTTTTTCTCATTTTGATTCCAATTGTGCCGTCGACGCGACGTCACGGACCAAAGCATCCAATCGGAGCTCTCAGAGAGCAGCGCATCATTCCCTGCTAGAGAACGGCACGTGGAAGGAGGTCGCACAGAACTACCTCTGAGACCCCTTATTCAAGTGGCCCTTTCTGTTAATCCACACACTAGGGGCACACTTGCCAACACGCCCTTCTAAAGAGAATTGTTCATCACGATATAATTGTCTTCGCACGCATTCACTGGTATCCGGACTGAGACCAACAACCCTCTACACTCGAGAACCCAGTTTCACGGAGACTCCGATTCAAACCCAAGATTTCAGCGGTGCGGGTTCAGTGAGGCGTACACTCACACGCACGTACTCTGACCCCTTAGCCACTCGGGCCACTCGGCCACCTCTTGCAGGACATTGTTGTTGATGCTTTAATGTTTACCCTCTTCCGAGTCGTGGAGGAGCTTGATAAAAAAAGTCCCTTCTGGAGTCAGCGGTCTTCATTGCAAGGCCAGCGGGCCACTAACGGCCCCTGGTGGCCGTTAGTGCGGCCCCTGGCGATACGCAAACGTGAACAGACCCCTCGCAGGGCGGTGGGTGTGGCGGCCGTCACACTGATGATGTCTTATCGGCCAAAGTGCCCACCCCTGAAGAAAACTGGTTTACAGTGACCCCCTCTCTGAAGCTCCCTTTTAGCAGAGACCCCCTTCTGTCAGACAGCATTGTTCGGCGAGCAATTGCAGCGC